TGGGGATCGTTTTTGCGGGGGGTTTAAATGGATAAAGGGAAAAGGGTGGTAAGTTACTAAATGGGTGTAAAGAGTTTTAAAGAGGATAGTGAGGCTCCGGTTAGGGTGTGTAGAAGAAGGAGAATAATTCCCGGTAAAAGTAGGGCTTGATAGGGGTGTTTAATGTCACCCCGGGTTTTTTAATTTAAAATTTTTAGATGGGGTTGTAAAAAAAGTAAATGCTAGGGTGTTTTGGGGGGGAGGGGGGGGGGATTTAAAATTAAAGGGGGAAACAAATTCAAAAAAGGGGAATTTACACAGTTTTCTTTTTGCGATGTTTCTGTGTTATTTGGGGGATTCTTTAAAAAAAAATTGCAAAGGTTAGTAATTGTTTGAGGGGTGTGTGGGAAAGGGAGGGAATTTTAAAAGTGAACATAGAAAAGATAAGGTGATGAGGGTATTTAAATGAAATTTTGATAAAGAAAAAAATTTGGGTATCAAATTGGGGGGGAGGGGTTGGGGAAAAAGTGAAGGTTTTTCCCCGATACTTTGGGGGTTTTCCCTGTCGGCGGATGGAAAAAATGAAGGTTTAGGTTTTAAACATAAATTGAAGAGGGAAAAAAAAAGGGGATGGTGCGTTTTAGGAAATGTGGGGTCAAAAAAAAAGTTTTTTATTTGGGGGGGAAAGAAGGGAAAAGTATGAAAGGAAAGTAGTTCCAACACTCTTATAAAGGAAAGTGAACTTGGGTTTTAAATTTCACAGCGAGGGGACGGTTGGAGGCAGTGGAGATGTCCTGTCTAAAGGGGGAAAGTGTGGTGTAAATATTATGCAGGGAAAAAAAGGGGGGTGTGGGAAAAAAGGAGAAAGGTTTTGGAGTTAATTTAAAAACCCTTAGTCAGGGGCAGAAGAAAGGGGGTTGGGTTTAGGGGTTTTTGGCAATTTTTGAGAGAATGGATCAAAGTAGAAAAGACAAAAGGAAAGCAAAATAAATCTATAAAAGGGAAAAAATGAGGGGGGGGGTCTCCTCGAAAGGGTTTGGGAAAAAGGGGGGGGAAAGGTGGGTTTTTTGGGCGTGGGGGTTGGACTTTTCCCGCAAGCCTTTTCAAGAGCGTGTTTTGTAGGAGTGAATGGAGACGAATGATACTTGGGACCTGACGATCGTTGGAGTGTGACAGGGGAAAATTTAGTGAAGGGATTCAGGGAAACCGGTTAATTTCATATAGTCCGGGCTTTAGTCCCGGAAAAGGGAAGTACAATGCCTGCACTTTTAAAAAGGGGGGTTGGGGGTTTTGGCAGTTTGGAGGGGAAAGTTGTGTATCTTTATACATATATGCTTCTAAACGTTTTAAATTTGAGCACCTCTGCAAAAACAAGGGGGATAATGTGTGAGTGTGGGAAAGTTTCTGAAAGGGTAAGGGAAAAAATTTTTTTTTTGGGGATTTTTTTTCTTTTTTTGGGGCCCCCCTGCCTCGGGGGAGGGCAGCCGACTTGTTGAAAAAAAAAAAAAAAAAAAAGAGATGTGGAAACCAGGGACTTTAGGATTTTTTAGTGCCAGGCAAATTGTAGGACTTGGGGGTAGCCCGGCAAATTGTGAAAAGCCAGGCAAATTTTAGAACTTGTGGTATCCAGGCAACTTTTAAATTTTGGGAGCCCCCGGCGACTTGTAGGGCCTGTTGGGAGGGGCAATTTGTAGGACTTTTGGGAGGGGAGGCAATTTGGGTTTTGGGTTGTGGTAACCAGGCAACTTTTTGGTACCCCGGCAACTTGAGGGGTTTTGGTACCAGGGAATTTTTAGGGCCCTTTTGGTTTGCCCCGGAATTTAGGAATTGTGGTAGCCAAAGGGAACTTGTAGGACTTGGGTAGCCAAGGGGAACCTTTTTAGTCCAAAATCCCAAAAAAATTTCACTATAAAATTACTGAGGGTAACTAGAAAATTAATTTTCCCTTTTGTATGCCTTTAATCAAGGGGTTTAATTTTTTCTAAAAATGGTATTTCATAAGAATGGGAGTGTTTCTCTTTTATTTATTTTAAAATGTATTTAACGTGGAGCCCAAATTGTACACAAAGTAAAATGACGGGAAAACCAGAAACGTTCATTCCCGGTTTTTTTTTTATTATTTGGGGGGTGGGGGTTTGGGGGGGATGGGCCCTTTCCGGGTACTCATATTCCCAACTTTACTTCAACAAATAAAAATTTACCTCTTTACCCTCCCTTTAAAACTACAAAAATTTTTAATGGGAATTAATGGTGTACTATTTTATGCATTTTTTTTCGCTCTAGGGAGCTTTAAAGTCGTAGTAGGTATAATTTCCCCGGCAGGATGCCATACCTCCCAAAAATACTTCCCACAAATAAAACCCTTTTTACCTTTTCACCCCCACTTTAAACCAAATTTAAAACTAAAATATTTTTAAAGGGAAAATAATATGTGTTCTGTATAGCATTTTAAACACTCCCCAGGGAGCTTTAAGGGATTGTTTTTAGTAAATTTTTGGGTGGGGTGGCCAGGAGGGCACCCCCACCTGACTTAGAGTAAAAAAAATTCCCTTTTGCCCTACAATTTTAAAAAACAAATATTTTGAGGTAAAAAAAGGGGTGTACTTTTGTGTTTTATTTTAAATTTTTACTGCCCATTCTAATTTTAAAAAATTTAAAAATGTTAGTGTAAACTTTTAAACGGCATTTATAGCCCTTTATAAATGGGAAAAAAAAAAAGGGGTTCTGCTTTTTCCCGCAAGTCCCGATTTTCCCCCCATTTTAAAATTTTTCCACATACCCCCTCCTCATTTTTAGTTCTCTAGCCAATCTTTCTACAAAGCTGCTTAATCTTTCCTAACTGTCCCCTTTAGTTCATTCCTTTCACTTCTTTTCCCCAATTATAATTTTTTTTAAAAAGTCAGCCTTTCCCCTGAGGCAGGGTGACCCAAAAAGTTAAGAAAAAACCCTTCATATCATCAAACACTTTTTCCCCTATACATACTTAAAAAATGTCTTTTTAAGTCACCAAACACAGTTTAGATGTCACTCCAATGTCCAAAAATTTTAAAAAATCTACATTTTTAAAGATTAACTATAGTTTTACATCACAAACAAGGAACTAAATAAAAGGATGGAATGATTGTTATTTGGGTTTCCCATACATCCTGGCAAGTTTAGCACCGAACACCGTTCTCAAAAGTTTAACAAATTTTTTCTTTAAAATTTCCTTGTGTTTCTCATTAAACCAAAAAAAACTTTACTAGGAACTTTCTTTGGGCCAAGGTTGCTTATTTCACAGCTGCAATCAGCAAACAAATACCAGAAACAAGAAAGCCCCAAAGTATTCCTAATCAATGAGAGAGCTAAGTGTATCTATAGGTAAGCATCCCCGGGAGGGTGACACATCTCATACAGCATATATCTGAGAGTATGGCCGATATCCTGAGCAAAATTTCGACGATGAAAGTGCTCGAAATACGAATTAGCCGATTTCCGCGATGGTCTATAACCTGGGTTCCACTGTACATACCAGAAAATACTTCTATAGTACAGAAGTAGTAAAAAGAGATCAACGAGTAGACACTTAGACACAGTATATATACCATACAGGGGTTCAAATACAGTGGAACCTCTACTCACAAGTTTAATTTGCATCTGGATTTGCTCGTTTGCAGAGTAAATTTTCCTCATTTAAATTAATTGAAATGCAACTAATCTGTTCCAGTGGAATTCTGTACTTCAATAATTTCCCTAATATCAACTCTACGGCTTATTTATTTATCACAATTCATCTAATATTACATAATCAACAATAGAGATAACAGAAACCTGATACAGTATATACTCTAGAATGAATAAAATATGTCATTCATGTAATGGTATCGTCGGCAGAAGAGAGTTTGTCTGGAGACCGGACAAAATACTCCTTCAATAATTTCGCTAATATCATCTATACGGCTTATTTATCTATCACAGTCCATCTACTATGACATAATAAACAATATAAATAACATAGAAATCTGACATATATTCTAGAATGAATAAAATATGTCATTATGTAACAGCTGGAGGTGGCCACAACCACTCCCGCTTTGTTGTGGTAAACACTGCCATCTAGTGATGGCCTTTTGAAGCTGTCTATTATTATAATTATTATTATATAGTACATTATTGTTATACATGTATTATTATACATTTTATATTAATATATTAATATTATATTTATTAACAAATATATTATTAATACTGTTGATAATTAATATTATAATAATAAATATTTAATTTTTATTCCACAAAAAATAGAAGATTTACTGTTATGCAGACTACTGCATTATTGTAATAATTGTGTAAATAATGTCAACCCAGTCATGACTGCATATTGGAATGGACCAGTGTTTTTAACTCTGAATACACCAAAGAATCAGATCCACAATTCTGCTACCTTTAAGCTCAATTTCAAGGCATCTTTTCGTTGTGAAAAACCAATTCAAATCATAATTATTTCTGTAATATATCTTCCATTCTATCAAATGAGACCAAAAAAACGAGAATACAACCATAAAAACCATATGAAAATACCACTAAGGAGAGGCTAATTGCTGAGAAGTGAACTCTTATTTATGGTCCGATTTCTTAAATTTTTGGTGTACGTTAAGAAACATCTTACCATCATACATTGCCCAAGTTTCAATAGTATAGTCCAACAAACAAATGAGATCCAATTCCCTAGATCAAGAGCAAGGGCCCCTCACCAGCATCAAGGAACCTCCCTTGAGGCCCTCTCATTTATGTAAATTTCGCTCACGTATGGAAACAAAAAATCAACTGATCGACTGCTCGTATTTGGAAAAACTCGCACATGGAGGTTCCACTCTATAAATAAAATAGAACCAATTCCCATTAATCAAAAAGCTGGAGGTATATCCAAGAATTACAGCTATTTTAACCTGAAAACTGAAATACACATAGATAATTACCTTCTCCAAGCAATAATACCAATATTCACATTTATAAAGAAATCTTACTATTACTGCACTTACCTCTTCAATAAATTCCACATTCTCTGCTAAAATGTGAGGACGACTGTCCCTAAAATAGAGGGGCCTTTGTTTCTGTGCTCCGATTTGCCGCAAAATCATAAGGGCGTCTTGGTCTCTTTCAAGACTATACAATTTTGCTGGACCTGGGAAGCGTAATTCTATGTCCTTGATTAGGTTCTGTCGAGACTGGTGCTTTTTCTGTTTTGTGGAAAAGGAAATATAAACATGACTATTTTTGTGTACTGACACAGACGAAGACCTATATCATGCAAATATACACATTGAATACTACATGCATAACTAACTTTCAACAATTACTTTTAAAAAATGAGTAAAAACAGGGCCCAAGACTGGGTTCTGGAAGCAGAAAAACTCTTGGAACTCATCAAAGGTATGTATGTATGTCTATAGAAACATTCTAAAAGTCTGATACAGATTTTCCCCTAACTGTAATAAGATTGAACTGTTAAATAAACTTTTTATACCAGGTGAAAATTTTATTCTTATTCTGTATTGGAGGGAGGGGGTAAAGGAAGTTTTGTGGGCAAGGGGCTTGGACTTCCAGCAAGCGTGCATGAGCGTGTCAGACAGGAGTGAATGGAGACGAATGGGTTTTGGGACCTGACAAACTGTTGGAGTGTGAGCAAGGTAATATTTTGTGAAGGGATTCAAGGAAACTGGTTAGCCGGACTTGAGTCCTGGAGGTGGGAAGTACAATGCCTGCACCTTAAAGAAGAGGGTTTGAGATATTGGCAGTTTGGAGGGACATCTAAACTGTCGTATCTGAGCGCCTCTGCAAAGACAGTGATTATGTATGAGTGATGGTGAAAGTGGTGAATGATGATGAAAGTTTTTTCTTCCTTTTTGTGTCACCCTGCCTCAGTGGAAAACTGCCGACATGTTAAAAAAAAAAAAAAAAAAAAAAAAAAAAAAAAAAAAAAAAAAAAAAGCTGTACTCATGGTGTACTATCATCTAGTGTTTAATTTTTCAAATAATTTGTTTCTATTTCTAATAGCTGCAGCACTTGTTACCACCTCTTTGGAGTCCAGTTCAGTGTTCTAGTAGTAAAATTAGTGTTCAGAGAGCTGAGTGTTCAGAATTAGTGTTCAGAGAGCTAAGGAGGGGTTGTTCCGGTGGATCAGGAATGCAGACAGGATAGAGGACAGGTTGACAAAGAAGGCACAAAATCTGGAGTGGAAGAAAGAAGGGATGATCATCCTAGGAATGGTTGGAGATGGTATAAAAGAGGCATTGTGTTTTAGGGGCTTGAGCATTGAGTAGGTTTATGTGAGCATGTTAGAGAGAAGTGAACAGAGACAAGTGGTTTTTGATGGATGTGCTGTTGGAATGTGAGCAAGGTAACTCTTCAGAAGGGATTTATGGAAACCATTTAGCCAGACTGGAGTCCTGGAGATAGAAAGTTCAGTGCCTGCACTTTGAAAGAAGGGTGGGGATGTTACAATCGAACAGTAATCTGGCTGTAATGTCAGCACACTTTTGGAATGACAGTGACTAAATGAAGGATGGCAAATGCGTTGTCTTCTTTGGCTCACCTTGCCTTGGCAGAAGACAACCATCGAGTTAAAAAGAAAAAAAAAAAAGCTTTCTAGTACAGTATCCTTTCAACACCTTTTGTTTCTTAAGATTGTAATTATGGGCTTGAAGATGGTGATAGTGTTGATGATGCTAAGAAATTATCTTTAAGAGATAAGAGTTTGTTCAGATTTCTAACTCCAGAGAGTTAGCCACCCAGGCTAACCCAAGAAAGTCAGGGTGTCATCGAGGACTGCCTTATTTCCATTGGGGTTCTTAAATCTTGTCAACCAGGATGTGACCCACACCAGTCAACTGACACCCAGGTACCTAACTGCTTGCTAGGTGAATGGGACAGCAGGTGTAAAACACGCTGAGGATCGAACCATGGACACTCAGTGTGTGAGGCGAGAGCATTGCCTAATAGGCCACTAGACACCTTATGACACCTTTGACTATTTTATTTTTGTAAATCATTCATTCATTGTTGTGTCCCTTCTATCACCTTGCTAGTATTAGCTGCAATATTTTCAGAGCACTTGGATTGTGTACAGCACTCAAAACTTACAGCAATAAAAAATATATACAACACATGCACAACAAATGGAAAGATAATATTAACCCTTTGACTGTCGCAGGCCCCTTTCTGAAACTGTCATTCTATGTCGATAAATTTTTGGAAAAAATAAATTATTTTTTTCTTATGAAATGATAATCTTTTCCCGATGGTAATGACACCAAAAGTATGAAATTTGGTTGAAAACTCACGGAATTACACTCCCGCGAAGTTAGCGGTCTTGGCGACATATATGCATTGGCGATTTTGCCGACTTTGAGCCCTGTTTTTGGCCAATTCCATTGTTCCAGTTGACCAAACTCATAGCTATTTCTTTAGAACTCCATTTTTTCCATCTGTTGAGTACAAGAAACCACCCATTTACCGATTTGAACTACCCAATAAAGTGGTCAGAAATTGGCAACTTGGCCAATTTCACGCAAATTAAAAAAGATGCCAATTTCAAAAAAGGGTCCAGAATAAACAATGTAGACATTCTTGGCACTAAAATATAACATATCCTCTGTTCATTAGTCACGTCCCTAGGCCCCTCTTATATTACTATTGCTTTCTATTTTGATTTTTTATTCATACAAAAAAATATAAAATTTACTGTTATGCAGACTACTGCATTATTGTAAAAATGGTACAAATAATATCAGTGCACTAGTGAAAGAATATTAGACTCCCCAGTTGAAGTGTATTGGACGTGTGGTGTGATTTGCTTACTCCTGAACATTGGTAAAAATCAAACATTTCCGCTACTCTGAGCTCAATTTCAAGGTCGTTTTCATCGTGAAAGTAATCAACATCATCTCTATTTCTGTAATATGTTTTCCATTTTATCACCTGAGACCATGAAAACGAGAATACAACGATAATATATGAAAATACACCTCAAAGTCGGCGTTTTAATCCAAGAAAAGTCAGTTTTTTTTTCTCATTACGCACTGCGTGCTGCAGGATTTTTTTTTTATGTGGTGCACACTGACCACACAGACCCATTCTCTCACATGCGGGCCTACCAGCTTTCTCCTGCTTGATCTGAAGCCGCTAGAATTTACACGTATAAATACGTCAGAAACAGTGGTGCGGAAGATGTATATATACGACCGAAACAGTCAAAGGGTTAATAATCAATAAAAGCTACGAACACATATTTCAAAACAAATAAAACTGTAATACCAAGTTAGGATAACCATCACCAACTGAAAACCCATAAAACATATTAAGTAATGTCAAAAGACTCGCCTAAAAGTTCCCCGAGATCCTTACAGGCATTATAAAACATGACAAGGGTAGAAATGCCTATGCTGCAGGCAAATTGTTAGTGTACCAGTCAGTGGCAAGTCATGACACAGAAGAGGTGGTAGGACACAAAAGCCCCTGCAAACAGGTGACTATGGGTAAGATGTGTGTGCCCAAACCTCAATCAACAGAGATTCATCTCAAAGCGATGATCCCTGCTGAAGGAGGGCCAAACACCTATGTTAATAATTACAAAACTTTAAGACATAATACTCGGTCAGCTCTTCACAACACAAGATTTTAACTGGAGTAATGATACTGAATTCCATAACTGATCAGCACCACATTTTGTCTCATGCATTTTACAAAAATCAACTTGTACAAACTAATAAACAAAAATCACTCAAAAAATCACATAAAACTGAAGAACTAATGTACTGAAATCTTAATTTGTAATCCATGAGAGCAATGCTCTTACGAACTTTTTTTTTATAAAGAATATGAGCAGAGGTAAGGTGGTTGGAGAAGTACTACACCCAAATACACATTTTTAAAGGAAAAGAAGAAGCTACTTGTAATACACAAGAGTTATTAAAAAAAACTATTCAATACTGATGAGTAGTATATGCATAATAAGCTGAATTGGTCAAATAAGCTTTTTTTTTTTTTTCAATGAACCAGCTGTATCTCACCAAGGCAGGGTGACCTAAAAAGAAAAACAAAATTTTCCTCTTTTTAAATTTAATACTGTATACAGGAGAAGGGGTTACTAGCCCCTTGTTCCCAGCATTTTAGTCACCTCTTTTGACACATGGCTTACAGAGGAAGAATTCTGTTCCACTGCCCCATGGAGATCAAACAGGCTTAACTGCCTTAGAAATTAACCTTTTCCAAAATGTTCTTTTAGGCTGATAAATATATATTTTTTTCAGTAAAAATTATGTTTTTTTTTTTTTTTTTTTTTGTTCCAAACCTAACCTAGAATCTTTACTGTACTGTATGAAAATAACTTTTACATTATAGACCACAACATTGATATAATGAATTTGAATTTCTATTATAGACCACAACATTGATATAATGAATTTGAATTTCTATCACATAACAGCCTTAAAGCACAACAACTTGACTATTTTTTGATGACTCCTGGCATACAATGTTGGCAGTATAGTCAAGAAGACAGTAAACATACTATTAATGACACCACCATGCACCTACTCACACAATAAAAATACTATACTACAGTTACTTGGGTCTACATAAACTTACCACACTCTTGAAACTGGAATCACTGTTATATACAATAGTTCATAACTCAAACATTCCATATGTTAACAACATATACAAGAGCACACAAACATTTCCCATGATAATAAATACATGATGCTTCTTATGTATAGATGGTTCCTCAAGAACAAGCCGAGTACTCAGCTCTTGCTCCAGGTCTTCTGTAACCATCATATCTTGGTCCTGGGCCAAAGCGCTTTCCAGAACTGCCTATCATAATTATTAAATACATCTTCAGAGGTATTCATGATAAAACTGCTAATAAAGAACGTGCAATAATGTCTTGGGTTGGAAAATAGTCTTTCAACTGAATTAGCAACTTATCTAAAAATGTTAAACAAGAATATATAATTGGTTTCAACTTTTAATTACACTCATGGCTGATGGGATATTTGATATTCTAGAATTTAAGGCCATGAACAGAAATCTGGTACACTTGTAAAATATGTATAATAAACAATACTAAAAACTTAATACTAAAAAATGAAAAAAAAATAAAAAAAATATTTGTAAAAAGAGCATATTTAACCCTTTAACTGTGTTAGTATGCACAGGACCAATCTGTGCAGGATGTACTAGTACACACATTTTTTTTGGTCTTCCAATTTGCTGCTAACTGTTACCTTATGCCTCAGCTCAAATGTTTGGGTGTCTTGCCACCTTGCCATGTCTACAAAAAAAACTGTAAAGCCAGGAGGGTCCAGAGGGTGCATCATGGGTAACAGTGATTCACCACATGTAAACAGGGTGTGATATGCCACTCTGCATCTAAAGAGTACAGCCTCTCCTCACTTAATGATGAAATTCCGTTCCTAAGCCCACATCGGTAAACGAATTCATTGCCAAGCAAGGAGAATACGTACTATAATGGTAGTGGGTTTGTGTGAAGCATCTTTGATATTGTTTTAATGTTACCTCTGCACCATATATAATATTTTAAGCATATTTATATGTTTATGCAGCAGTGTACTATATATTGTAATAAACAGAATAAAGGAAATCAACTCTAATATACATTATTTAGGTATGCATACTTGTCAGAGCCCGTTGTAAGTCCAAGTCATCAGTAAACAAGTACGTCGCAAAGTAAAGAGAGGCTATATGTTTTTATTTACACTTGTGTACATAGCAAACATTTTTTACAATGTTCTTGAGAGTACACATGTTATGGGCACACACAAAAAGTATATTACAGGGTATGTACATTTTAAACCCAGGATAACAGATGAAAGTCAAACAATGGGACTTATTTCCATGTGTTGAGAGGTATCACACCCTTTAATATTACAAGATTTACTAGTACATATTGGTAGAAGACAAAAGCAATCAAAAGAAATAAGAAAAACAATTATTTGTACAGGTATTCCTCACTAACGGCCTACCTGTTTAACGACTGCTCGGACTTATGACTAGTTCTCCGACCAGTGTACTGTATATGTATTTTACTTTTTTTGTTTTTTAATGCCAAGTTCTATTTTAACATACTAAAAATGTTATAAAAGGTGCAAAGCTGACATTAAAACAATAAAGATGGTTGACACAATCCCACTACCAGTACAGTATGCTTGAAATATCAGTAAGGGGCAGCTCCTCGCTTAATGACCAATTCGCTTACCAACCTACACTTAGGAACAGAACTCGGTTAAATGAGTACATTCCATGTGGGGCTGTCAGGCTAAGCATATCCCTATGTCTTGAGTATTAACCCTTAAACTACTGAAGGGTCTAAACTAAATGTGCCCTCAAGAGAATTTAGAAATGTACTAAGATGAGAATGAGTGAAATTTGATTACTACTTACTGAAGAATAAAAAGGCACAATACCATGACTGGAGCAACACAAATAACCCGCATACAGGAGACTGAAACTTACGACGACGTTTCAGTCCGACTAGGATTAGTTAATGGTCCAGGTCAAACTGAAATGTTGTCAAAAGTTTGTCTCCTATGTGCAGGTTATTTGTGTACTACTTGCTGAGACATGAAAGTTTGAAGGTGTTGTTTGTGATCATTATATGGCAATATAAGTGCTTGCTGCTTGAAAGAAGTTGCTGCATTACAATATTTTTTTATGATTTTTTTTTCAATTTTTCTAATTTTTTATGGACGATATATTTTATATCTATACAGTGGACCCCCGGTTAACGATTTTAATCCGTGCAAGAGGGCTCATCGTTATGCGAAATAATCGTTATGCGAATGAATTTTCCCCATAAGAAATAATGGAAATAAAATTAATCCGTGCAAGACGCCCAAAAGTATGAAAAAAATTTTTTTTTACCACATGAAATGTTAATTTTAATACACACAAACTGAAAAAGGCATGCACAATTAAATGACACTTACTTTTATTGAAGATCTGGTGATGATTGATGGGATGGGAGGAGGGGAGAGCATTATCTTCTTACTGTTTAGAAGGGGAATCCCCTTCCATTACGACTTGAGGTAGCAAGTCCTTTTCCGGGTTACTCCCTTCTCTTTTAATGCCACTAGACCACTTGAGAGTCACTGGACCTCTGTCGCACAACAAATCTGTCCATAGAGCTCTGTACCTCCCGTTCCTTTACGATTTGTCTAAAATGGCCACAACATTGTCATTGAAATAGTCACCAGCACGGCTTGCAACAGCTGTGTCAGGTGATTTTCATCTATAAAGGTTTGCAGTTCAACCCACTGTGCACACATTTCCTTAATCTTCGAAGTAGGCACAATGGATTCCACAACTGGCATAGGCTTCTCAGGTTAGCCCCAACCCTTCAAAATCTTCTTAATTTCCATACTAATTCTCACCCTTTTTACCACAGGGTTGGCACTAGAAGCTTTCTGGGCCCATGGTCACTTATTTTCCAGAAACAGCACCGAAAACACTGATAATAATACGAAATATTCCGAGTGTATGCTTGGATGTTTACCGCGGAGGCTGCTGGTAAACAATGGGACGGCCGGCACATGTGAGGGCACATTGGACGCGTCTCGGACGAAAATCGGTAAGCGGGTTTTTAATCGGTATGCGCGGCAAAAATTTTGCGATAAAAGTAATCGTTATGCGGAAAAATCGCTATGTGATGCCATCGTTATGCGGGGGTCCACTGTATTATGTTTTCAAAAAAAAAAAAAAAATATTTTATATCTATATTTTGTTTTCAAATCATATTTCACTTATATTTGTTGTTCAGTCATGCTAAACAAATATAAACAAATGTAAATGACATTTACTGGCTCTCACAACGCCCTGCACACAACACAATTTTTTATATTACACTCGCCTAGTGACAATCTTTTCCTTGATGTAGTCCTAACCAGGCCAATCAGGACCATTTTGGTGACCCTAGAATTCTGGTGTAAATTTACTTTAGCATTTTTCCAGTTGGCAAAAATTTACATCATTAGCAGTGTAAGGGTTAGAACACCTTATCATCAGTTGTAAGTTCTGCATAGCCTATTAAATACTATTTATCTTTTTGTTTTAAGAATAGTTATTAAATGCTTAGGAATCACTCGTCCCTCCCTCCCATCTAAGGAGGTGTCTTGATGGGAAAAAGGCATTTCAGAATACCTGAACACTCCGGTATAACCACTGACTACTAACAGCTCTGCATCCACATTGACACAAGAACTACAGCCATCTACCTCAGCCCAGTATTGCCATATAAACCCTCTCCACTTGCTTCTATGTCAATATGCATCAGCAACCAGAACTTAAGATTGAATTATTTTTTATAATTTTTAAGCTACATCTAACTAGGCCTAGTAGGGCCACACTGATCCTCTCTGCACAATTCTAGATGTAAGGTAAGAAAAAACTTTGTTTTTAATGAATTATGAAAATTTAAAAACTTGTTTGCCCTTAACATGACTCACGAAATCGTAATGACACGATTGCAAACAAACCATACCACGGGCGGGGATAGAACCCGCGATCAGAGAGTTCGCGGGTTCTATCCCTACCCGTGGTATGGTTTGTTTGCCCTTTTTTTGAGGTCTCACGAATGTAACCATTTTTCCCCTATATGTTCCTTAGTCCAGTTAATGCTACTTCTGTTAAAGTGCCAATTTTCAGGAACGTAACCCACATTTTAATTGAGAGACTACCGAGTTAAAACCAAAATCATCCTTTAGAAAACATATTTCATTAAACACTGTTACTGATTTTATAAAACAATGAAAATTATTTTGCATCCATGTCAGTAAATTTCAAATGCTGAATGAACCAACTGAATTATGAGAAATTAAGGCTACACTACCTTCTGTGACATATCCTCAAGACCAGCTACTATATGAACAGGAGCTGGCAAGCCTTGTGCCAAAACAGAGCTTAGTAGCAGGTCTGCAGCTTCTCCTAACTCCTCTGCAGGCCAGAGTAACATCAATGTGTCACTCACCTGGCAATAAAAAATGAATAAACAAAATTATATATCATAAGAAAAATGATCTTTTTTATAGTGTTCATTTTATTAACAGGTATAACTTGCTATTTAGGTTGGTAAACAGCAACCGCCCAGGGAGGTACTACCATCCTGCCAAGTGAGTGTACAACAAAAACCTGTAATTGTTTTACATGATAGTAGGATTGCTGGTGCCTTTTGTCTGTCTCATAAACATGCAAGATTTCAGGTATGTCTTGCTACTTCTACTTGCACTTAGGTCACACTACACATGCATGTAAAAGCATATATATACACACCCTTCTGGGTATTCTTCTATTTTCTTTCTAGTTCTTGTTCTTGTTTATTTCCTCTTAGCTCCATGGGGAAGTGGAACAGAATTCTTCCTCTGTAAGCCATGCGTGTTGTAAGAGGCGACTAAAATGCCGGGAGCAAGGGGCTAGTAATCCCTTCTCCCGAATAAATTACTAAATTTAATAAAGAAACTTTCGTTTTACTTTTTGGGCCACCCTGCCTTGGTGGGATATGGCCGGTGTGTTGAAAGAAAGAAAAGAAATAACTTGCTATTGCTACTTACACTTAGGTCACACTACACCTGCATGTACATGCATATATATACACACCCATCTAGGTTTTCTTCTATTTTCTTAATAGTTCTTGTTCTTTATTTCTTATCTTCATGGGAAAGTGGAAAAGAATTCTTCCTCAGTAAGCTATGCGTGTCACAAGAGGTGACTAAAATGTCAGGAGCAAGGGGAAAGTAACCCCTTCTCCTGTATATATTACTAAATTTAAAAAGAAAAACTTTTGCTTTTTTTATTAGGTCACCCTGCCTCGGTGGGATACTGGCAGTTTGTTGAAAAAAATTTTTTTTTATTAAATACATTAGCCATATCCCACCAGCAAAGTGTGACCCAAAAGGAAAACAAATAGACCCAGTGGCTTACACACTAGTATGGAGTTTTACGACTCCCTTGCCAAGGGTTATAACCCCATCTGTACCATGGTTCAGAAAATTATTCATCACTCACTCCCTAACTGTCAATGATCTAAAGAAGTAAAATATTCATCATCACTCACTCCTAGGTGTCACTCCAGAAAGACAGAAGCATCACAATCAAACTGCACCATTGAAATGCAACATTCCCATTCATCTTTCAAAGTGCTGACATTGTACTTCCCACCTTCAAAACTGAAGTTCAACTAATCAGTTTTGCTGAACCCCTCCATAATAATTACCATGCTCATATTCCAATAGCACAACTTCCCCAAAACTTAAACCCCCTACTTTTAAATCTTGTTCACCCCCTCCTTCAACCATTTTTAAGACATCTCATACACCTTCTCTTCATTTCAGATTTATTCTCTTGTTAACTTATATTGCTTCATCTTTTTTTAAATTAGCAAATCATCTTGATAACCCACCATCCTCTCTGAATAATACACTCCTTACCATTACTCTTCTAACTGGACAAATATTTTTGTTGGTGGGTTAGGGTTTGAGAAGACCCTGCCTAGTATGGGCCAGTAAGCTGTCTGTTGCAGTATTCCTCCATTCTTATTTTCTTATTCACTGCATAATATTCACATCACACAAACCTCCAACATATCTCCCCTGCCTCTCTTCCTCCCTACTGACATCCAAAGACATTTTATTGAAATTGACATTAATGCATTCACTCCCACCAACTATTTTTTGGTATTCACTTTCATTATATATTATGGAATCAAAGGACATGCTTTTGCAGGCAAAATCCTACCTCACTGGTAGACATCAGCATATAACAATCAATGACACTTCCTCATCAACCCAGATTATCAACACTGTACTGCAGCTCAGCATCCCTGGCTCAGTATCAATCCTCCTTTTGTGTCATCTGCAACCAGTCCTGTTTGCAGATGACACAAAACACTTGTCACTTTTAATCCAGATACTGTTGTCGTAAACACAGTCAATGAAGAGTCTGTAGTAATTTCTACCTGGATGGTAACCAACAATCTTATGGTTTAACAAACTTACTCTCAGTACTGACAAGACCTAATACATTTTCGGGAATAAAGCCAAAAAATAATCATTTTAGCCTAAAAATAAATAACTCCCACACAGAAAGATAAGATGAGGGAAAATTGTTAGATATATACCTTGACTGCAACCTGAAATTCAACACTTACATATGTGAATGAAACAAAGCCTCCTCAATATTTCGGAGAGCCCATCCCTATTCTTATGAAAATTATATATGGTAAATAACACAAAAACATAAGCAATGTGGGGAATTAAATTTGATGCAAAATTCATACAATTTACTTAATAAAAATAAAAATGAAGTATTTCCTAATTGAATCAAAACAATGAAAAAGTAAAACAAATTATGAAGGTGAATCAAAGCTAAGATTTGCAAATGTACAAAAGCAACAAGGTATGAGCTGGCTCTGATCCACAGAGATCAAATGTTATATGAATTTCATATTCACAAAAACAGAGGAAGACTGTCACCATCACACACTCAATAGATGCCTGTGGTATACAAGACATGAGCCTTAATGAGAGGCAGCACCGCAATCACAGTGTAGTGTATTTGAGCACATGGATTTGAGTGAACCATTATATGAAAAGATGAAACAAGCTAACTAGTTTCAGATGTAATGAGTGGGTAAAGAAACAGCTCACGAAATGGCAAAAACCCAACATACATTTCAGCCTTCCACAAATGACAAAGGTAAGGGCAAGTAGCAGTTCTTCAAATTTTTTTCCCAGTCTTGCTGGCCTGATCAAAACACACCGGATCATCAGAGAGCTGGATGGCAAGTAGCTTTTTAACAAGCCCCAGCACCACAGATTACCTTCCACCCTACACCTTCACACACACAAGCAACCCACACAAGTTATAGTACATATAGTACACTCACACAAAATTGTGTACAACATAAACTTTTCCCTTACAACATCCAACACATATGCAAGAAAATTTCCAAAGCTGAGCATTCTCTCGAGAATACACTATACAGTGGACCCCCGCATACCGTTGGCATCACATAATGTTTAATCCGCATACCGCTCGCTTTTATCGCAAAAATTTTGCCTCGCATACCGCTCAAAAACCCACTCACCGCTGTTCGTCCGAGACGCGTCCAATGTGCACCCTTAGCCAGCCTCACATGTGCCGCCGGTGGCGTTGTTTACCAGCCAGCCTCCGCGGTAACATCCAAGCATACAATCGGAACATTTCGTATTATTACAGTGTTTTTGGTGATTTTATCTGCAAAATAAGTGACCATGGGCCCCCAAGAAAGCTTCTATCCCAACCCTACAGCAATAAGGGTGAGAATTACTATAGAGATGAAGAAAGAGATCATTGATAAGTATGAAAGTGGAGTGCGTGTCGCCGACCGGGCCAGGTTGTACAAGAAACCCCAATCAACCATCGCTACTATTGGGGGCAACAGAAAGGCAATCAAGGAAGCTGTTCTTGCCAAAGGTTTAACTGTGTTTTCGAAACAGAAAATCGAAAAGTGATGGAAGATGTTGAGAGCTCTTATTGGTGTGGATAAATGAAAAACAGCTAGCAGGAGAAGCGTCTCTCAAACAATCATAAGCGAAAAGGCTAGGAAGTTGCATGAGGTTTTAATTAAAAAAATCCCTGCAACTAGTGATGATGTGAGTGAATTTAAGGCCAGCAAAGGTTGGTTTGCGAGATTTAAGAAGCGTAGTGGCATACATAGTGTGATAAGCCATGGTGAGGCTGCCAGTTCGGACCACAAAGTAGCTGAAAAATATGTGCAGGAATTCAAGGAGTACATAGACAGTGAAGGACTGAAACCTGAACAAGTGTTTAATTGTGATGAAACAGGCCTTTTTTGGGGAAGAAAATCCCAAGCAGGACCTACAGTACTCGGGAGGAAAAGGCACTCCCAGGACAAAAAGCCTATAAAAAGACAGGCTTACTTTGTTGATGTGTTCCAGTGCTACTGGTGATTGCAAAGTGAAGCCTTTATTAGTGTATCACTCTGAAACTCCCAGACCGTTCAGGCAAAGAATGTCCTCAAGGAGAATTTGTGTGTGCTGTGGGGCAAACAGTAGGCATGGGTCACTAGAACTTTTTCTATGAATGGTGGACACCATGCATTTGCCCCCAAATTGGGGAAAGAATTACCTAACTAAAAAGAAATTAGAACTTAAGTGCCTCCTGGTGTTAGACAAATGCCCCTGGTCATCCTACAGACGGGGCCCAGAGCGACTTTATGGGGACATGAAATTCATTAAGGTGAAGTTTTTCCCTCCTAATACCACTCCTCTCCTGCAGCCCATGGACCAGCAGGTTATTGCAAACTTCAAAAAACTGTACACAAAAGCTCTGTTTGAAAGGTGCTTTGTAGTGACCTCAGAAACTCAACTGACTCTAAGAGAGTTTTTGGAGAGAGCACTTTAATATCCTCAATTGTGTAAACCTTATAGGTAAGGCTTGGGAGGGAGTGACTAAGAAGACCTTGAACTCTGCTTGAAGAACTGTGGCCAGAATGTGTGGGACAAAAGGGTTTTTAAAGGGTTTGAGGCAAACCCTGAGAGGATTATGCCAGTAGAGGAATCCATTGTGGCAATTGGGAAAGTCCTTGGGGTTGGAGGTTAGTGGGGAGGATGTGGAAGAGTGGTGGAGAGGAAACAAGGGAAGAAACTAACCACTGATTAGCTGATTAAAATCAACTTCAACAGAAAAGAGGCCTTTACTGAGGAAACTGGTTCGAGGGGGGGAGAGAAAAATTGAAGAAGTTGCCTACTACAAAGATTAAGGAAATCTGTGCAATGTGGGAAAGTGCAAACCTTTATGAATGAAATCACCCTCACACAGCTATTGCAAGCCTGCTGGTGATTATTACACTGACATTTTTGTGAACACTTTAGGAAGTCATAAAGGGAAACGAGAGGTACAGGCCACTATGGACAGATATGTGTGCGAAAAAGTCCGTGACTCTGAAGCTGGTCCTAGTGGCTTTAAAAGAAGAAGGGAAGTAACCCAAAAAGGACTCGACACCTCAAGTCTATGGAGGGATTCCCCCTCTAAACACTAACCTCTCTCTCCCCCTCCTCCCAAATCCCATCAATCATCACCAGATCTTCAATGAAAGTAAGTGTCATGTAATTGTGCATGCCTTTTTCAGTTTGTGTGTATTAAAATTAACATTTCATGTGGTAAATTTTTTTTTTTTCATACTTTTGGGTGTCTTGCACGGATTAATTTGATTTCCATTATTTCTTATGGGGAAAATTCATTCGCATACCGATCATTTCGCATAACAATGAGCCCTCTTGCACAGATTAAAATCGCTATGCGGGGGTCCACTGTATTCCATAAACATCATTGCTCACTGTACTACTCACTAATCTATCCCTACCTCATTTATGGTGTCTGTGTTTAGAAATCCACTACACCAAATCACCTAAAACTAATAGTTACCCAACAGAAATCAGATGTTAGAATCACCACCTAATCAGGTTCTAGACCTGTATAAATTATTATATGAAAAAAGAAGTAAATTTCTTCTTTTTCAGGTCACCCTGCCTCAGTGGGAGACGACCAGTGTGTTGAAAAAAGATATCCATACCTACTATTCTGCATTCTATATATAAATAACACTTAAACTTTAAACCAGCACTCTGACTCTTCCTGGAAAGTTGCAACAGAACACAGACACCATATGTTTGACTCGACCTACCTAAGAACTCCACGAAAATAAAGGACCCTAAAATTTGAAACTCCCTTCCAGGAGATGCAACAAGGTTTCCCTTTGGCCACCTGCTTCAACAATATAGCTAAAAAGCACCCTCAAACCCTGCTTAGAGTAATTATGTTTCCAAATCATATTAATATGCACACTGATTTTCTCAATATCAACAATATATTTCACCACATGTAATAACAAAAAATATGGCGTACACCAATTATATAAAATGTCAAATATTGTAAACCATAGCATTCTAGTTAACTAACCTAATTTAATAATTAATCAGCACTGCAGATGTAAGTTGGTTTTAACCCATTCAGGGTCCGTGCCATAGATCTACGGCTATACGTTGAGGGTCCAAACCGTAGATCTACAGCATGAGCTTAGCTCACTCTGATAAGCTGTGAGTGGTAAATTTGGGCCTAGATATGAGAGAATACATCTATGTGGTATGTGTGCACCACATAAAACAAATCCTGCAGCACACAGTGCATAATGAGAGAAAAATAACTGAGACCGTAATTTTCGATTAAAACAGCGGCTTAGCAGTGTTTTTTCATATGTTTTTTATAGTCATATTTGCAATTTCTTGGTCTCAGTTGATAGAATGGAAGATATATTACAGAAATAGAGATGATTTTGATTGGTTTTTGTAATAGAAATGGCTTGAAACTGAGCTCAAAGTAGCGGAAATGTTAAATTTTTGACGATGTTCAAGAGTAAACAAATGACCCCACATGTCTAATACACGCCAGCTGGTGGGTCTAATATACATTCACAAATGTGGCAATATTATTTATACAATTATTACAATATTGCATAACAGTAAATCTTCTATTTTTTGGTTTGAATAAAAATTCATTATGTGAATAAAAAATCAAAATGGAATTCATTTGTAAAGCCTGAAAACATAACTAATGAACAGAGGAAATGTTAGTTTAGTGCCAGGAATGCCTTCACTGTTTATTCTGGACCCTATTTTGAAATCAGAATTTTTGAACTTTGCATTAAATTGGCCAAATTACCAACTTCCGATCATTTTTATTTTGTAGTTGAAACAGTTGACTGGGGATTTCTTGTGCTCAATCGATAGAATAGAAGTAATACTAGTGAAATAGCTAAGAATTTTTGGTCAACTGGGAATAATGTAATTGGCCTAAAATGGGAGTCCAAAGTTGGCAAAATCGCCAATGCGTAAATATCGCTGACACTCAAAATTCACAAGAGCATAATTTTGTCAATTTTCCATCACATTCTGTACTGTTTGTTTTTTTACCTTCAGAAAAAGATTCTCTGCCATTTCTTAAAAAAATAAAATTATTTTTTTTAAAATTGGACCCTGGTGCACACTTTGAAATTTGGCCTCTGGACCCTGAAAGGGTTAAGGGTGTCCAAATGGTCTGCATAGCAAGGGGCTTTCTATATAGTTTATGCATGTCAATTACTAATCCTATGTCAACTGTAAACTGTACTTTATAGAAATAAAGTTTCTCACTGTCATGAATGTCATTTTAAAAACTATTTCAAACTTCTCAACCAACCTCTGTGACCTCTCTTCCAAATTTCCCAGAAGCAGTGCCATAAGCAAAGAAAAACATGAAAACTCGCACTTTAATCAGATTTATTATCATTTAACCCACATCTTTCTCCAAAACCCTTTTAGCATTCACTTCCTTTACTGCACCATCTACAAAGAGTGAAGGAAGGATAGGTTTTGAAATTTACAAAGCACTAGGACTGACTCTGTACAATAAAATGTCAATTTTTTTTACATCAGTCTCCATGGTACATAGATGCCATGGGTACACATAAAAAGAACATTACAGTGTATGTATATTTTTTTACCCAGGAAAGTCAATCAATGTGACTTTTTTTCTATGTTTTAAAGGATATCACACCCTGAATTTAATTGCAATACAGTATCATAAGGGCTTTCCTGTGCATAGTGTTTTGAAGACAAAAACACTCAAAGTAAAAATAACAATATACTAAATTTTATTGTATATTCCATGTGGTGATAGACTATGCATCTCCGACCCCATGTTTACAGTACTAAAACACCTTGAAACACATATGAAGCCAGTGAATTGGTGTTAATCACTGAAAACAAGAAAACAAAACAAAAAAAAAATATCTTAATTTAGAACAAGCAAATTATTGTAATTCGGCATAAATGAATAGGAAAAACACACACCCCTTTGTCTGTTTATGCCAATGTTGTCAACTGATCATTTTTCAAACCCAAATTCAACACACCATAAAAAACCCTAAGTTTTTGTCTGATTTCAGTTTTGTTTTTGTAGCTCTATTTAGAAAAAAAATGATACAGTATTTAAAACTAAGATTTTTTTTTTCCAAAATTTGCCATATACAGTAATAATATTTTCAGGGTATGCCACAGTTTAAGGCTTATTGCATGCAGGAAAAAACTATAGTGATAGACAAGGTGTCCTAGATTACATAGCTGGTCCTTTACCAACAAAGCATTAGAACTTCATGACATTGTCTAACACGTTTACTGTCATGCATACTTCTACGAACTCCACCATGTATGTACTTCTAAGTTAAAAATAAGCCTACATACCTTTACACTATCTAGTACTGCATACAGATCATTCACTGGTGGTACAACAAAGGAGAATCTTTGTCTGAAGCGCGGGCAACTGTAGGAAAATATTAATGAGTACTTTATGATTTTGGTGATAATTAATATGATCTAATAAAATGTGGCCCAATTGGTTTCAAGAATTTTCTCCCCCATAATGGAATAAACACAATGCCATGAATAGAGGTTGGAATCAATTATGCATAGTACAGTGGACCCGGTTAACGATATTTTTTCATTCCAGAAGTATGTTCAGGTGCCAGTACTGACCGAATTTGTTCCCATAAGGAATATTGTGAAGTAGATTTAGTCCATTTCAGACCCCCAAACATACACGTACAAACGCACTTACATAAATACACTTACATAATTGGTCGCATTGGGAGGTGATCATTAAGCGGGGGTCCACTGTATAATGAATTACATCACTTATTTAGAACACCTTCAAAAATAATAAAACATATAAATACCTTATATGCATGATGCCCTGAGAGCTGGTGGTGATGGTGGCAGCTTTATCACATGCTGCTAGAGTTTTTAATACCTTCCTGGGGTTAATATTAGGGCATAGGGGCACAACTGTCGCAAGGAAGGGAGGGTTGTTAGCAGTGCCCAAGCCACGCTTACGTAGAATAGCTGCCTCCTTTTTAAATGCACGAATTTGCTTTGATCTGTGCTTCCTCTGTTCACGACTGAGCTCCTTCTTAGCTTTCTTGCTTAATGTTTTAACGCTGATTCGTCCTGGAAAAAGTAAGTCATAGCACTACATGCTGGAAAAATATTTAGAAAAACAATCTTGCCTTTCTCAATCATGTAATCTAGGATTTCCATGCTTCTTTCATGCAGCACAGCCTCTCCTTACTACAGAGTTCTGTTCCTAAGACCACGTCAGTAAAAGAATTCATTGCTAAGCAAGGAGCATGCTATAATGGTAGTGGGTTTGTGTCAAAAATCTTTGATATTGTTTTAAATGTCACCTTTCCACTATTTATAACATTTTTAGTACAGTAGGGCCCCACTTTATGGCATTTCGCCTTACGGCGTTCTGCTAATAAAGCAATTTCAAATTATGACCAAAACTTGCTATACGGCTCCCAGTCTTTCTAGTATGGCGTGCTCCACCTGGTTTGGTTATTCTCTGTGAGCACATCTCTCTATTATGTCTGGAAACTTTCCAAAATTTCAAGTGTTCTAAAGTTATGCATATTTTATATGTACAGTGGAACCCCGGTTATCGGCCGATATGGATATTAGCTGAATCTGATTTCAGCACTTTTCTGGCCAAAATTCTGTCCTGAATTTCGACCGGCAACTCAGAAATCGGCCATACTGGGCGTATCCGTTCACCATTCCCCCGCGTTCGTGAGTCAGTCTGGGTGAGTGAGCAACATTCTGAGCGTTCATCCAAACATTTCATCACAATCCATTGTTTTTTGCAGTTGTTTATTGAGTGCGACTGCAAAATAAGCCACCTTGGGCCCAAAGTTCCTAGTGCTACCCCTTTGGTAAAGAAAGTGAGAAACACAATAGAATTCAGTGACAAAACCTTGTCCCACTTCAGGCAAATCTTAAAGAGATGCCAGAACCAGACCTCTCTGGACTTTTTTTTTTTTTTTTTTTTTTTTGCAACAGGGGTACAGTGACTCTCAAGCTGGTCCTAGTGCCAGTAAAACACGAAGAAGGGAAGTAACCTCAGAGAGGAGCTTGATACCTTAAGTCCTTATGGAGGGGGATTCCCTTTCCAAACAATAAGTTCTCCTCTCTCTCCCCTCCTTGCCTTCTTCAATATGCCCACAAGAGTCTTAAATAAAGGTATGTAATGTTCAGTTATTATTAAAATTTGTACTTTATATTTATTTCTCATTGTTTTCTGTACGTAAAACTATAGTTAATCTTTAAAAAATGTATTTTTTGTTAATATTTTTGGGTGTCTGGAACCAATTACAGTGGACCCTCAACCAGCGATATTAATCCGTTCCTGAGAGCTCATCGTTAATCAAAATAATCGTTAGTCAAGTTAATTTTCCCCATAAGAAACAATGGAAATCAAATTAATCCGTGCAAGACACCCCAAAGTACAGTGGACCCCCGGATAACGATCAGCTCCCAACTCGACCAATTATGTAAGTTTATTTTTGTAAGTGCTTTTGTAGGTGTATTTTTAGGGGTCTGAAAAGGACTAATCTAATTCACAATATTTCTTATGGGAACAAATTCGGTCTATAACGGCACCCAAACAGACTTCTGGATTAAAATAATATCGTTATGCAGGGGTCCACTGTATTCAAAAAAAAAATTTTTACCACATGAAATATTAATTTTAATACACACAAACTGAAGAAGACATGCACAGTTACATGACACTTACCTTTATTGAAGATCTGGTGATGATTGATGGGATGGGAGGAGGGGAGACCGTTGATCTTGTTAGTGTTTAGAAGGGGAATCCCCTTTCATTAGCACTTGAGGCAGCAAGTCTTTTTCTGGGGTTACTTCCCTTGTTCTTTTAATGCCACTAGGACCAGCTTCAGAGTCACTGGACTTCTGTTGCACAACATATCTGTCCATAGAGGTCTGTACCTCTCGTTCCTTTATCCTAAAGTGTTTCACAACATTGTCAGTGTAATAGTCACCAGCACGGCTTGCAATAGCTGTGTGAGGGTGATTTTCATCAAAAAAGGTTTGCACTTTAACCCTTTGAGGGTTTCGGACGTACTAGTACGGTTTACGACCCAGGGTTTTTGACGTACTAGTACGCCTAAATTCTAGCACCCTCAAATCTAGTGGGAGAAAGCTGGTAGGCCTTCATATGAAAGAATGGGTCTATGTGGTCAGTGTGCACAGTCTAAAAAAAATCCTGCAGCACACAGTGCATAATGAGAAAAAAAAAACTTTGACCGTTTTTTTGGAATAAAACAGCGACTTTGCACTCTATTTTCGTATGGTATTTATTGTTGTATTCTAGTTTTCTTGGTCTCATTTTATAGAATGGAAGACATATTACAGAAATTGAGATGATTTTGACTGGTTTTACAATGAAAAGTACCTTGAAATTGAGCTCAAAGTAGCAGAAATGTTCGATTTTTACCAAATTTCAAAAGTAAACAAATCATGCCAAGCGTCCAATACACATCAACTGGTGAGTCTAATATTCTTTCACAAGTGCGCCAATAATATTTATATCATTTTTTACACTAATGCAGTAGTCTGCATAACAGTAAATCTTATATTTTTTGTGAGAATAAAAATTCAAAGTGGAAAGCAAAAGAATATAAGAGGAGCCTTGAGACGTGACTAATGACCAGAGGAAATGTCATTTTAGTGCCAGGAATGTCTTTCTTGTTTATTCTGGAAATTGGTATCTTTTGAAATTTGTATGAAATTGGCAAAATTGCTAAATTCTGACCACTGTACTGGATAGTTGAATTTCATAAATGGGTGGTTTCTTGCACCCATTCGATAGAAAAAATGGATTTCTAGCGAAATATTCATGTTTTCTGTCGACTAGTACGGTGGAATTGGCGGAAAATGGGGCTCAAAGTGGGCAAAAGCACCGATGCGTAAACATCGCCGAGACCGCTAACTTTGCGAGAGCATAATTCCGTAAGTTTTCCATCAAATTTCAAACTTTTGGTGTCCTTATGATCGGGAAAAGATTCTCTATCTTTTCATAAGAGAAAATTATTTTTTTTTTTTAAATTTGGCCGACCCTGAGAACGAGTTTCGGAGAGGGCCTGTCGACCCTCAAAGGGTTAAGCCACTTTACACACATTTCCTTAATCTTTGAAGTAGGCAACTTCTTCAATTTCTCTCTCCCCTCCTCCGAAGCAGTTTCCTCAGGTGTGGCCTCTTACTGTTGAAGATGATCTAGCAGCTCATCAGTGGTTGTTCTTCATTGTCCTCCTCCACCAACTCTTCCACATCCTCCCCACTAACCTCACCAATATGAGCACTAGTTCCAGGCATTTTTTCCTGTTCACCTGGGTGTTAGTAAACTGTTGTGGGTCGCATCCTGGGGGACAAGTTTAAAGGGAAACCACAATGGAAATAAGTTACCAGTCCTCGATGATGCACTGACTTTTTTGGGGTTTTTCCGGGTGGCTAACCTCCGGGGTTAATCGTTTCTCGGTAAATTGTTTCACGTTAAGCCACCCCAACAACACTCCTCTCCACATCTTCGAGTAATACAGCTGATGGTGGTGCAGCAACAACAACAGCTTGACTGTGGTCAGCAGCAGCTGCACCTTTGGCAAAAAACAGCTTCCTTGATTGCCGTTTTTTTACCCACAATAGTAGCGATGGTTGATTGGGGTTTATTATACAACCTGACCAGCTCAGAGACACGCAAATCCACTTTCATACTTAGCATGATCTCTTTCTTCATCTCCATATAATTCTCACCCTTTTTGCTGTAGGGTTGGCACTAGAAGCTTTCTTGGGGCCCATGGTGACTTATTTTGCAGGTGCAATCACTACAAAGGCTGTGATAATATGAAATGTTCCAGTTGTTGTATGTTTGGAAGCGACCGCGGTGGCTGGCTGGCTTGTAAACACTGACACCCAAGGGACAAGTGAGGCGCGCTCAGGCCAAAGTGGACGCGTATGGTACGGAACGAATAGCGCTGGTCGGGTTTTTAAGCGCTAGTTGAGGCAAAATTTTTGCGTTTAAATGTATCGCTAGTTAGATTTATCGTTAATTGATGCCATTCTTACAGAAAATATCACTTCGGTTTTCGGCCTTTTCGGATTTAGGTCAACCTTCTGGAACGGATTATGGCCGAAATCCGGGGTTCCACTGTACTCTGATAATAATGTGTACCTGTACCTAAATATACTTATACACTGCACTGGCATGCAGGTACACATTAAAATCACTAAGAGTCTCTCTACTCTTGACCCTGGATATTTGAAATTAAGCTAGCTGAAATTAGTGCCAGATTACCGATTCCCAGATTAGTGATGGCTGACCTGTTTTAGAATCTGACATCATTGCAATGTGGGTGCATCGATGTTTCATGGACTAGCATGCTCTCAAACATATCTAATATGATATACAACTACAATAGCAAATTTCTAAATACAGTGGACCCCCGGTTAACGATATTTTTTCACTCCAGAAGTATGTTCAGGTGCCAGTACTGACCGAATTTGTTCCCATAAGAAATATTGTGAAGTAGATTAGCCATTTCAGACCCCCAAACATACACATACAAACGCACTTACATAAATACACTTACATAATTGGTCACATTCGGAGGTAATCGTTATGTGGGGGTCCACTGTACAGTAAAAAAAAAAAAAATGTGAAAAAAGTTCAGTGTAAGACAATGTGGTTTTATGCAACATTTTTTCTACAGATATGCCAGTTAGGCTAAATCTGTCAAACTTCAGAAAGACACAAAAGACAAACCTTTTACTGACTGTTAACTTTCTTTTTTTGCAATTATACTAAGTTTCTTATGTTCAACAATCTTATAAGAATAAATAAATTTAAAAATTAAAAAAAAAAAAAATCTGCCCACAGTAAGACTGTCACAGCTCTGACCTGTGTACAGTTTAACACTTTCAGGGTCCAAGGCCAAAATCTGAAGTGGTGCTCAAGTGTCCAAGAAATTTTGAACAAAAAAAAAAAATTATTTTTTCTTACAGAATTAAAGAGCATATTTTTGTGAAGGTAATAAGACAAAAAAAAAAATCTGATCAGTGCTTACCGAGATACAGTGCCAAGAAGTTTGTCAAAA